GCAGTTCAGTACGATTAGAAGACAAAAAAACTGCCACATCGCAAAGCCAACCACCCGCTCGTACCCCCCCGCAGAGAGAGGGTAGTATAACTCCCGGGGTTCACGGTGAAAATATCAAAGCCGCCTGAGATTCGCGAGACTCGGTTTGATGCGATTTGGCCGCATACGTAAGTTGGTCGATTGAAACGGATCTGCTACTGAAGCGGACGAGATGCGAGCGTGTTCGGTGAACCGAACCTCCCACTCTCTCTCTCTCTCTCTCTCTCTCTCTGCCAATTCCGCAACATCCGTACACCAGCCAGCGCTTTCTTTCCCTACGCCTTTGTCGGAAATTCGGCCTGCTTTTCAAACAGTCCGTGCTCGTTGCAGCCGTTGCGTTCTCCCGGGGACGCTAGGCTGCATTTCGGTGCACCTATAGAGAGAGAGAGAGAGAGAGAGAGAAAGAGAGGATAAGAAAGAGCCGCATAAATCGATCCTTCCGTCACACGGAACGACGCCTGGGCGGACGGAATCCGGAATTTTTCCAAGTGCACGAATCGATCTCGCGGAAAGATATCCGGATGTATAATCTCGAGCCTCGTCCCGAGACGAAATTTTAAATTTTACCTTAAGTCTTCAGGTGGAGAAAACAGAAATAAGTTCCCAATTGTAACATCAAAGGAGCACTTATTGTGCTCCTTTGATGCCACGGAGGGAATTTAGTTTTCCAGCGCCGAAATTTTAGTTCCACATTACGTCCTCAAGTGGAGAAAACGGCAGTAACTTTCCCCATTGTAGCACCAAAGGAGCACAATAGAAAACTTTTGAACATTTCATATAGAACGAAATTAGACTTGTACTAGGACTAAAATTTCAACTCGGGATCGGCTAATATGGAAACATTGCGCGAACAGCGACGTTTCTTGATAAAACGTGACATTTTTTATAACCTGAATTTCCTCAAATAATCACAAAAAGACAGCGGGACGTATGAAATAGCAGATAATAGTTTTGAAATGACAGAATATTCCGCGCGGAAATACTTTTTTAAATATTTCACATATATTTACAAAAGTTATAACATAGTAGAATTGAAAAATTATTCATTCAACCTCTTTAGAAGGATTGATGCACGTTTGACATTTTTTCACCTTTTTTTTTTAAACTTAAACGTCACTGATAAAGACAACGGATATATTATTGCGAATAAACATTTCTCGCAAAATTCTATGTAAAAAATGAGGAAGAGAAATCTCGTCGCACGTTTGACAAATAATGTCTGTGAATTTCAAAATTAAATCTCTCTCTCTCTCTCGACTTTTTCACGAATTCGTACTCGAGAAAAAAATAAAAACGACGGAGCAATATAAAGATTATCATTAGTACGAGGGTCGCCGGCTATTAATACGCGGTTTCCTCCGCCGCTTATATTGTGCTCGATCCATCATCCCCGGGGTGAATAGAAAAGAGAAGAAAAATTTCGCGAGGTCTCCTCGCAAAATATGTCTCGGCTGCGAGCGTGTGCCGGGACGCGCGTCTTCTTCTTTCTCATTTCTCGCGGACGGGAGGGAATAAAAGGGAGGGACGAGCGGGACGCCTCGTAAAATTCGCCACCTGTCCCGCGAATTACCGAATTCCGCCGTCGATTGATAACACATACACGCCGGAATTCATGTCTTCCAACAGTCGCTCCGTCGCGTTCCCTCTCTCGTGAAAGGAATCGGAAGGAAAGAGGAAGCCAAAGCGAGAAAAGGAGAGAGAGGGGGAGAAAGAGAGAGAAAGAGAGAGAGAGAGAGAAAAATAGGAGATCGCGAAACGGTCTCGCTTCTCCGCCGGCAGAAGTAAATTTTTCCATATTTTTCCGGGAAACTAGCGAAGCCAGATATTGGTTCCGGATACGTTCCGGCGCGCGCGGACCGATTCTCGTTTCGCGGCGGATCGAGCAGTTAACGTTATACGCTTCGAAAGAGAGACTCTCTCCCTCTTTTTTCCACCGGGGCGAAGGGGCCAGGATCTTGTTCCTTAATAGCGGCTTACGACGAATAAATGTTAGCGAGAATTCAATCCCCTTTCTCTATTGCCCCGATATATCGTATCCCCGCCTCCGTTTTGTTTCCCGTGCAAGCAGTGTTCGCTCATTGATTTTTAACGAGATACGGTCGCGCGATCGCCGTGGCGAGGCGCAAAAACAAAACAGAAAGAACCGACCGGGAAAACCTGATCCTTCTTCCTCGGCTCTCCTTCGCGAAAAATGAAATTATGAAACACGAGCTTGAGCGACACAAGACAAACTTGAACGTATTTTCGCCCCGGAGGGACGAGAAATATAATCACCTCTTAGCGCACACCCCGGCCGTTAATTAACCTATCAGAATCGTACTACCCGAGTAGAAATTGTCATCAGGTGTATTTAATGCTGCACAAGGTCTTAACTAGGTGGATGCAAAGTAATCCTTACTACAGGGAATCTAATCATGTGGCGATAAAAGTTGAATAAGAGAAATCTTTGTAAGAAGTTATAATGATATTATGACGTTAGTGCATTATTTTAACGTATTATTTTGCAAAGTTTTACCAGTCGCTTTATCAGTTCATTTTCTCGGGATCTTACGCACTATTAATGACTTGCATTACCAATTTCCAATACGGACCTTTTCCAAATCTAGTACATAATAAGTCTGATTAAGAAACTTTATTTTTATAATTTTCTTCCGTAAATATTTTTTAAGTTTTAAGTTATAACAAATTTCGTAATAATTGATATAAAATTTGATATAAAATTTAAGTAAACTGTCATTCACCGACTGTATATTTCTTTTTTATTTATTATACATACAGAGAGCCCGAAAATTTTCGGTACATCAATGGTGTGCGGGAAAGTCAAAGTTTAAACTGAACAGGAAAGTCATGTACCATTTTGCAAACTTCGCAATAATTATGAAGTAATTAATTCAACCGTCTGAGAGAGCGCACGGGAAGCGGAAAAGCCATCATTCTTTACACATGCCTGGAGTGTCCGGTCTACTGTTTCTCTCTCATTTGCTCAGACGATTTAATTTATTACTTAATAATTATTGCAAATTTTGCAAAATGTAACATGACTTTTCAGTTCATTTTGAACCAATTGACCTTTACACTTTGGCTTGGCAAAAGTTTCAAACATGTCTTGTATATAAACGAAGAACAAATATTAGATCTGGACGATTTTCGATTCTTATAATGCAAGTGACTTGTTTGCTTCTATATCTACTTGCATTATTGAGAAAAAAATTCGTTCAATTCAACAATATTTTGTAGGTATTTTTCACTAGTTCGGCAGTCCCCACTTTTTGAAAATCCTACGCGGAACAAAAATCTGCATTAACCAGAAAAGGAATAACTAGGTGCGTTTTGGTCAAAGGAAACAGAATTTCCGGTTCTTCCGACCCAAATGTGATTCTCATAACCAGAAATTCTCCTTCGACCAAAACACACATCTGCTCCTTCCCTCTTTCTGGTTGATGCAACCGAACTTTTTCTCCCCTGTAATTTCATCATAATACTTCCCGTTATCCGAGGTAAAACCTGATTGGAATTCAATAATATAACATCACCTGATGAGAACAATGTAATGAATCCTGATTAAGGGTTCTGATTACCACTCATTGTTACCTGACTTCGTGGGATCCGATAATATATGTAACCTTAAATGGAGCCGACAACTAGTTAAGGCCAACCTGGGATCATGGGGTAAATTTCCAGCCGGGGAAACGAGGACACGATCGTGGGCGTCGCGGCATGAGAACGCGTCTCGCAATCCCGGGCTTGTTTCGCAGGCCATGGAGAATTACGAGGGCGAAAGCCGCCGCGCGGTCTCGTGGGTTTGTCTTCAAGCGGAGCGGCGACACCCGCAGCAGGGAGGGAGGGAAGGAGAGACGGGGCGGTTGAGAGACCGGTAGGACGCGGCTGCATTTAATTTCGCGCATTTAATTCCCGCAGGATGCGTCGTGCGACGACAGAAAGGAAGACGGCCGCGTGCGACGTTAAGGCTAAAGGTAAACCCGGGGACCGGTTATGACGGCGGCGGCTTTCAACTCGGGATTTCGCCGCCCTTCCTGCCTGCCGGAAGGGGGGGGGGGGGGCATGGNNNNGGGGGGGGGGGGGGCATGGAGTTTGTTGTAGGTAGAACGAAGACGCCCGAAGAGACCGGAAACGCGGTCGCGACGGTAATTCCCGCGCGAGCGGGAATTAAGGGACTCCCCGCGCAAAAAAACGGTCGCGAGAGAGATAAAGATAGGCGGGGGGCCGGAGGGAGCGGGCGAGGCGCGTGATTTAAATCGCGAGCGGCGAGATAACGCCGACCCGGACTCGTAATTTCGCCAAGACGAACGGTTATTGGGCGAACTCGCGCGAATAACGCGCGTCGACTGTTTCTTCTTGTTGCGTCCTCTCTTTTTCTCCATCTCTCTCTCTCTCTCTCTCTATCTCTTTCATTGGCTCTTTTAATTTTTTTTCGCTTTTCACCGAGACGGACGTTTCCGGGGAAAACGTTTTGAAAATTTTGTTGCGAGACGCTCGTGACGCATGACGCGCGTTGCGCAACAACGGACAACGACAGGCGTCGCGCGCGCTGAATTGCGCGCATCCGGACGCGCTGGCGATTGTTAGCGCGCCCAATGCGTGTGCGCTTGTACATTTTCGGCGGGCGGCAATTAAGTCTAATTGACGAGAAAGATTTATTTATTCGGGTTGAATTGATGAGGATGTTTGATGGTTAATTGATTCGGATTCAACCGATGAGGATGATTGATAGTTAATTGATTGGGATTTAATGCGCCGGCGAGGGGAGGGACTAAGTTCTGATTGACGTTTAATTGATTTAGAATTTAATTTGTGGAATATATATATATATATATATATTTATTTATTTATTTATTTATTATGTATATATATATATTTATATTTATATATTTATATATTTATATTTAGGTGTGAAAAATCTTCAAAATTTCATCATGCCGAACGATAAATCGATAAACTCACCTAGATACGACGAACGAACGGTCCCGCTGGAGTAACTCACTGTCTCGTAACTCGACTTAGTCCGCTGCACCTGTAACGCAAACAAAATAAAACATTTTCAACAATTTATACGTGCCGGCTCCTCTGCGAAAGTGTTCGCGTATTTAATTAAGTGGAACGATACTTGAGCAGGATTTTACTCCAGATTCATCGAACATGTATCTTATACGTGTCTTTTTCGTGTTTTATATGAGAATACACATAGAACGTCTAACACAAGCCATACCATCCGTCATATATTTATAGTTAGGCCGATGTAAACAAAAAAGGCATCCGCCATTTTGCACACGACCACGTGGAATGTCGAGTTATTAATGACTGAAAATGGCCATGTATAGAGGCTATTTCAATTAATAATTCAAGAATTTACGTGGTTATTTGCAAAATGGTAGAGAACTTTTTTGTTCATTTTGACCTGAACCGCATGGAGAAAAATATTTTGCTGACACAGCAAATTTCCTCTGTTACTATACGAATATCAAAAAGATTTGTTTGAAACAGCAAAAAGATTTGTCAAGAGTATTAATTGCCATTTGCCGGGTATGGACGGCAAAATAATTTGGTTATGCAAATTAAACATTTTGCTAAAACAAGATTTTGTCCGTACAACAGATCCTTATACCGTCCGTGTAGCAACCGAGAAATTTGCTGTGCCAGCAAAATATTTTTTTCCGTAATCAAATTACGGCCCGCGTCAGACACTCTTGTATATCTCTCTCCAATTACTCCGCTCCTTCCCCGCTTGAAACTCGTCTTATTCAAAGAACGCGGAAAATTATGAGACACACTCCAAGGTGTAAACATCGCATTCGCGTGCATGTAGATTATTAGGTGACGCGGAATTTTCGGCGGCGGCAATTAAGAGTCGGAATCTGCAAATTGCGCCGTAATGCGCAGCGACAAGAGGTGAACATTTGTAAGACAACGTAGAATAGGGAAAGGAGGATACAAAGGAAGAAAAAGAAAACAACAAGAGGGAGAAGAAGGGGGAGAAAGAGAGAGAGAGAGAGAGAGAGAGAGAGAGAATTAATAAGTATGACGGAAATACGCGCGCAAGCTATAATTTCGTCCAAAGCAAGAGATGGAGAAGAGAGGAGAGGAAGGGTGAGTGAGTGTGAGAGAGAGAGAGAGAGAGAGAGAGAGAGAGAGAGGAAGGAAGAGAATAAGAAACAGGGACAAAGAGAGAAAGAGAGAGAGAGAGAGGAAGTTTAAAGTGAAACGCAACGCGATGCGCCGAAAGATATATCCCGACGACGCCAACTAGAGAGATTAGATGTCGGCGATTCGCTTCGCGAAATTAAGCTCGCTTTAATCCGGTGCAACTACGTCGATTAATCCTCGCGCGTACTTGAGCTTCCGTTTCTGAGATTCCTCGCGCGCGGCTTTAGTTTCACGAGCGACTAGCGGTACACGGACTGTGCGACTCAAAGTGCACGTAGGACGTGCTCTCGCTCCCGCTCTCTCTCTCTCTTTCTCTCTCTTCGGTGATACTCGGCGCCGCAAGCCGTAGCTCGTAATTTTTTCGAGACGCGATCTCGTCGGAATTCGCACCTCGGAGAAGGGAAAAAGGGGGAATAGGAAAGGAAGGGACGAGCTTCTCGGCGAGAGAAATCACCTCCGCTAATTTTCCAGCGCGATCGGGAATTCGCGGTCATGTGCGATAACGGAATCTTCACTGCAAGATAGCCAAGAGAAAGAAGGGTGAGATAGAGATAAAGAGGGAAGGGGAGAGATCGCGCATTTTAATCGGCGGACAATTAAGTGGCGAAAGAAACGGCGTATATATTCGCGGGGAAAATCGTTGGCGGCGCGCCTGTGGCTGAAATGTTTTCGCGTAAACGCCGATCCGTGCAAAAAAGAACCGGCGAGGAGGGAAAAGGAGCCAACGGGGGAAAAAGGGATAGAGAGAGAGAGAGAGAGAAAGAGACCCTTCGACATCGGCGGCTCGCTGCGAATGCGATAAATAAATAATCCTAATTACGACCGAACGGCTGCGCCGCTGTGACGGGCGCGGAGAGCAAGAGCGAGAGAGAGAGAGAGAAAAGAAAAATAGAAGCAACCACATTTTCCCCGAGACAATAGCGCGATCCACCGTCGCTATCCCCTTCCGACCGACCTCCTGCCGGTCGGTCGCTTTTTTCGCCCGTTCTGTGTTTAGTTTTTTGCCGCCTTTCATCGCGGCCGCTCTACGACGATGACGACGACGAGTAGAACGAGGAGAAGAGAAGGAAGAGGGGTAGGGGAACGATAATACGGCTAATTATTTATTCAACCGATTAACGACCGACAGGTCTTCAACGCGACGCCGGCCACCGGCCGATATTCCGCGTCACTTCCGCGGAACGCGAGAATAATTTAATTAAAAGCGGAATAAACCGATCGAACGAATTACGGCGGCGGATCCGCGCTACGGCTGCTCGTGGGAATTGCAATGCCGTCAATAAAATCGCACAATAACGGCGGCGAATTTCGCGGAATGACGGCCGGAGAGGAAAGGTGGTATTTCGCTTTTCGCCGAATTCCAAGCGGGATCGCGAATTTATGAATGGATCAACTCGCCGCCTGAAGCCGAGCGAGATCCCGAAATGAGTGACGGGTGAGCGCCGGATTTTCTCGATTACNCCCCCCCCCCCCCCTCTCCCTTCGACATCTCGCGCGCCTTTCCCCTTCGTTCGGCGAGATGATAATTCCCGGAAGGTAAACAACTCTTGCTAGAATGCAATCTGCTTCCCTTTTGTTTCCCTTGTATCGTCTCTATGAGTGAAAGTGTTATTTCCCTCTTACTACAAAGGGAATTTTTCCCGTGTGTGTGTGTGTGTTTAATAAAATGAATAAATAAAGGTGCGAAAAAGGGAAAGATGTACACATTAGGCCGCGCGCGTCCGAGAGAGCCGGGGGAAAATATTCCACGCATATATGAAATTCCGCGTCGCCGTCGGGCCTCGTGCGAACCACCGCCACGAGGCTGCTGAATATTTTTCCACCTTATTACGCGAAAGAGAAAGAGAGATTTTTTAATCCCTCCTGGGGAGGTTAAAAAACCCCCTCGAGTACACATAATGCATGTGTACCAATGTTTACAATCTAAGCGCAAATAAGTATGTCGAAAGTAAAGCGATACAGTAAAGTTACAATCTCGGAATGCGACGCACAATCGCTAAAACCCAGCCCACGCTCGCCCGTATCTATACTTGATGGCGTGAAGGAAGAACAATACGAGAGAGGGCCGATTGCTCCACCTTCGGATAAATTTATCTAATGGATTATCTAATGCAATAGTAAAATATCTGACGAGTGTTCCTGTACGGAAATAAACTACAAGAATAGAAAGAAATTGCTGTATTCTGGTTTCTCAATGGTGTGTCAGTAATTTTTCCGTATTCTTGCAGTTCCTTTCCGTATGGGGGCGTTCTTCGGATATCTTTACATTGGATGAATTTATCCGAAGGTGGAACAACCGGCTCTGAGAAAGTTGGAATGTTCGAGGTTAATAATAATAAAAACTAAATAGATATTCGCTGAAGCGGTAGCACGTAGCAGAAAAAAGAGAGTGAGAAAGAGAGAGAGAGAGAGAGAGAGAGAGGGTGGAGGGGCATACGAGGGCGAGAAAAGCTTGCATTACGATTTCGCAGTTGGAAGTAGAAGATCACGTCGAGTTTGTGGCTACGTGCCGGACGATTCGAAGAAGATGCGCGTCTTCTCTTTCCCGCGCACATTTGCCGTTATTTAATTAAATTAAAGTAAACCGATTACGCGCGGCATTACCAGCGAAGATGCGATACTTTGGAGAAGAAAACACGAAGAGAGAGAGAGAGAGAGAGAGAGAGAAAGAGAGAGGACGACAGTGAACGAGTGAAAAGGAGAAACTTTGCGCGGCCGTGCGAAAATTATGTAAACTCAGCGCTCCTCTTTAACAAATTTCACACGCTGTTTTGCGCAATATGCAACGTGCAACACACACGAGGCGAATATACAAAAGAGAGAACAAAGGGGGGGGGGGG